CACCAACTGGTACCAGTCCATGGCCCAGGGGTTGGGGACCACAGTTGTAAAGGAAACTCCTTTGGTTTGTGTATACTGTTAGCTTCTGTTTTAAACTATCCATAGATGATCAAATTAAGAAATAAAACTTCACAGTTTATTTTTCCAAAATTTTAACCAGACACAGAAGTTCAATTTTACTGAATTTATTATTGTTTACTCATTAGGATGATCATGAAATTTTTAGCATTTTTCAGTTAATTATATTAATTTGAAGCTTCACAACTGGCAACCCACAAATGGGTCTTAGACACGGATCCGTGAGGCTGAAGCCAGGAGACGGAATAAGCAGCTCCCCAGTGTGACCTGCTTACGCTCGTTCATCATTTCTAAGTGAGCCATGAAATGAAAACCTTGCGAGTCAGCACTCGAGATCGCTGCGTCACTGCTTTGCTTTGTGGTGTGTCTGGCTTCAGGACATGTGCTAAATCCTACCCAGTCACAAAGAGAAATTTCGTGATGCTCTATCATCTTTTGCCAACGTTTTATTTAACACAGTTGTCTTCGTTCTTTTCTATCATTAGTCTAAAATATCCTTTTGTGTTGTTAAACTTGATTTAGGTTCAGAATCACATTTGGTGCATAAAAGGTGTGGAGTAAGCAATAGGTATTATCACCCTGATCTGATAGAAGAGGGAGGGAAATAGGAAAAGAGGAAGGGAAGGAGGAGGGAGGCCCCTGGGTGATGCCTCTAGAGTAAAATCTGTTTGCTGGGGGCGGAGACAATGAGGGTGGGACAGGGGGAAGAGGGCGGGGCTTGGGAGGGCAGGACTGAACCCACCAAGGGGCGGGGTTGTGGCTTGGAGGGGGCTGAAACAGCCACAGGCTGGGGACCTTCATATGGCCACACTGTTTTCCACCAGGCTGGGCCGCAGGTACTCATAAGGCATGTCCAGCTTTGCATTCCGGCTCTCGATTTCCTTATCCAGGGCAGCCAGCTCTTCTCTGAACTTCTTCAGCACAGCCTTGGGCCCAGGGCCCGAAAAATACTCCTCCTCATGCTGGCCCACAGCCACCTGGGGTGGAGAGGAAAAGGCAGCTGAGAGCCTATGACCCCACTTTGGGGTGCCGCACCTCCCTGCAGCTGCCTCCTTCCTTAGGGCCCTGGGCACCTGGCTCTCACCATGGTGGGCTGGCGTCTGCCCAGTTGCCAAGTGATGGACATCTGGAGAGAAGCCTGGTGAACGTTGGGCAGTGTTGCCATCACTGTCTCCAGCGTAGCGTCCTTGGTGGTCGGCGGGGGCAGCCGCATCGTGCAGGGTGTGTTAGGGACCCAAGTGTACCAATCCAGCTAAGCAGCGGGGAGGGTCCACAGTCAACACCTGCTAAGCATGAAAACCCCGTAGCCTACCTGCACGGTCCCCTTCCCCGCTCCAGGCCACAAATACCCAGCTGTCCCCCTCTGGTAAGCACCTGGCCCAGGTGGACGGAGGAGTGCTGGCCAGTGCAGGTGAAGATGCACATGGTGACAAAGCGGCAAATCTGCTCCTGAGACTGCAAAGAGACAGGAAACCCTGCAAGGAGTGAGGAGAGTTAGAAGCTGTGGGGCCGGGAGTAGAGGCAGAGCTCAGAGACAAGGCGGAGAGAGGAGAACAAGACGGGTGAGAAGGTGCCAGGAACACGCAGTCACTCCTGTGGGAACTAACAGGAGTGGGTTGGGTTCGGGGACACGGGGAGCTCTGCTGGGAGGGTCCTCGAGCCGGCTCGCGCTGGCTCACAAGAGTCAATGACGCTAACTTTTCAGGTGTTTAGCAAACTAGTCAACTTCACGTTGGTAGCCGCGGTGGGAATATTTACACCATGGAAATGGGCAAATGCTACAGATCAGGGCTTTTTTCCAGAGAGCCAGTTGTTAAACACTGATGAACAGCCACTGGTCCCACTGTGCCTGGGACTGGGACTCCTCAGTGTATAGGATGGGGACCTGCCTCTCGCGGAGAGGGAATGGAACCTGGGAAGGCCTTTGGGAGTTTGCACAGGGTTTGCAAATACCACTGGAACATTCCAAAGAAACAGGGAGGATTCTAGGGAGGTCTCTTGTGTTTTGCGTCTGACATCCGAGGGCAGGGGCTCCTCTTACCTCGGTCCTGAGCGCCTTGCAGCCCAATTTCAGTGATCTCGCGACACCAGCTCTGCAGCTCAGGGTCGTCCCTCACAGACTCGTCTGTCTTGTAGTGGAGATTCACCATGCCCTCCACGTACCTGCCGGCCGAGGGTCAAGGCCAGAGAGCTGAAGCCCGACAGGGAGCCTCCAAGCGTCTGCCCTGCCCACAGGGCCAGGCCAGGGCCCCGGCCCCACAACCAAAACTCAGACCCCCTGTTCTCCGTGCCATCTCCTCCCTCCCACCCCCAGCCCTGCCCCCCTGCTCGCCTCACCGAGAGACGATTCCCCAGAGCTCCAGGCATCTTGGGCAATGAAGGAAGACTTGACCCGAGGAGCCCCGGTCAGCCAAGTCATCAGGGACACAGAATGACCTATAGGTCAGGAAGGCTCCAGCTCGCTTGAGCAGCTCCACGTGGCCTCCCCCACCTGTGCTGAACACCTGAGGGACAAGGACAGCAGGGTCAGGCCAGTCAGGAGCCCTGAGGCCAGAGCCGGAAGGAGGAGTGAGCCCAGAATCCCCCTTTCTCCACCCATACCTGGTCGAAAACTCCCATGTCGGAGACCAGCCCATTTGCCGACGTTAATTTCCAGCGTGTAGCGCAGGTGGGGGATTATGAGCTGGAGGGAGAGAAGCAGGGAGGGCAAGTCAGAAGAAAGCTGTGGCAGGTCCCCATGGGAAATGGGCTAAAAGGCAGGAAAGACACCGGGTCTTCAGGAAAAAAATCCACAGACTTCAAGTTCAATGGCTCCTCAGCATCAGGAGTTTTCATTTGGGGTTGGGCAAGGTAGCTCACACCCATAATCCCAGGACTTTGGGAGGCTGAGGCAGGAGGATCACTCGAGGTCAGGACTTTGAGACTAGCCTAGGCAACATAGTGAGACTCCAAAAAAAAAAAAATTACTGGGGCATGGTGGCATGTGCCTATAGTCCCAGGTACTCTGGAGACAGAGGCAGGAGGATCACTTGAGGCCAGGAGTGCTAGGCTGCAATGAGCTCTGATCATGCCATTGCACTCTAGCCTGGGCAACACAGCATGACCCTGTCTCTCAAAAGAATAAAATAAAATATATGTTTAAAAATAGCTTTTGGTTGATTTGCATCACTTAATTCATTCTGCAAACCATTGACTCAGCACTTTATGATAATTGAAAGAAATCATTCTCCTGTTCTTTTTTCATAGGTCTAGACCTGCAGTCCCCAACCCCCAGGCCATGGCCTGGTACTGGCAGTCAGCCTCTTAGACACCAGGCCACACATGCCACCTGAGTTCCAACCTTCCCCTCACCACCCCCCTTCCCCTCCTCCCCCGGTTAGTGGAAAATTTATCTTCCATGAAACTTAGGAACAGAGCTGGAGGATGCCAGGCAGCAGGAGGTGAGCAACAGTGAGCAAGCAAAGCTTCATCTGTATTTATAGCCGCTTCCAATGGCTTTCATCCCCTGAGCTCCACCTACACCACCACCACCCTCTGATGCCCCAATCTGTGGAAAAATTGTCCAATTGTCTTCCCTGAAACTGGTCCCTGGTGCCAAAAAAGGTTGGGGACCACTGCTCTAGACCAAAGTTTCAATGTACTTTTTGTTCAGTATTACCCCCTAAGGAGCCTTTTGTGATGTTTTTTTCCTAATCTCAACCCCTATCCATGAAATTTTAATGTTACATATATACTATATGTCTACGTGTGTGCTGTGTTTTATCTGTGCCTTATACATAAAGATAATAATAAGATTTTTCCACTCTCGCAAGCATTTCACCCCTGGGAGGCATTGAGAATTCGGGATCTGACCGCTGAGCATCTCCGCAACCTCATTTCCTCCGTCTCCCCTTCACCCATTACACTCGTCACCTTTCCTGTTCTTAAACGAGTCAAGCTCGTTCCTGCCTCAGGGACTTTGCACGAGCTGTTCCCTCTGCCTGGAACACTGTGCCCTCTTGATTATCTCACGGCTTGCCTGCCCCCCACCCCCAGTCTCATTCTCTGCATCATCTCGAGGGAGCCTTTCCTGGCCACCCACTCTAAACTCACTACCACACCACCCTGCTTTGCTTCTCTGCCCGGTACTCACCACAGCTGGTGTGTTACAGTACAGGCTGTGTCGTCTGCCCGTGCTGGAAACTGATCCCAGAAGATCAGGGCCTCGCTAGTCTTGCCTACCACTAGCATCTAGAATGGCTCTTGCCACATGGGAAGCACCCAATAAACGTTTTTAATGGGTGAATACTTCTCTCTAATTACCTGTAATAAAGCAGGCTACTGCTGTGGGCCTGCAGCTCTAACTGGCCTATGTTGCTATTTTAGAACTCTACAAGGACTGGCTGGGAAAATCCTTCTACATGATTTGTATGGTCCCCTTGGATTGGATTGAATCTTCAGTCACTGGCACGTACTGCTTGTGTACTGCATAAATATCTGTGCTTTATACATTTAAAGGGTTATGTTTTTTTGCCCCATCCCCTTGGAATCATTTCTACCCCCTTGGGAGGTGATGTGACCCGCTGAAAATGCGGGGGATCCAGGCTCACACTCCCTTGCTGAGTCTTCCATGGGCTGGTTCTCTCCACACCCCAGAACCCGTGGAGAGGGGCCTCCAGAGGTGGGAACGTGCCCTGGGGCAGAGAGAGAGGCAGGCAGGGGAGAAGGGAACAAGGTGCTACCTTGAAGATAGGATGTAGTGAGGGAAGGCACCTCATGGTGGCCACAGCAATGACCTCAGCCATCAGGTGTCCCCTCAGGAGATGCGACTGCAGCTCGTGGAGCTGGAAGTCAGAGCTCCGGACCCAGCACTTGGCCAGAAGCCAGACCATTGGGGGATCCGTGGGCAGGAAAAGCAGAGGTGGCGGGGATCCTATTTTCGGCAGCTGGAGCTAGAGCAGGGACAGGAGGAGACAGAGGGGTGAGTGCCAGGTGCTGCTAATCCCCCTCCCCTCCCTTCATCCTCCATCCTACTGCCACCACCCCCAAGGCTACCATTTCTTCCCCTCCCCCACCCACTCGGTGCTGGCGCTGCGCAAGCTGCTCTGCCCTCGGCCTCTGCAGAAGCTGCCCTTCCGCTGCCTTCTCAGCCTCCACTTCCCTTTCGGTCCCCTCACTGTGGACGAGACTCATACCCGCTTCCTGCATCCCACACTCTTTCCGAAATCTCAGCCTCTCACCGATCTTTCAACACCACCTCTACACAAATGGCTGCGTCTCCAGTTCTCAGCTGCCTGCCAGGCAATTTGAATGTCTCCCCATTAACTATGATTGGCAAGACAGAGCCTACGTGAGCACCCTGTCCTCTTTATGTGTCCTATTTCTCCAGGCGCCCGGCTGGCTCCCTTTTTCCTCTCCTTCAGTCTCCTCTGCACTCGCGTCCGTCTGTCTCCTTCATCTCTACGTCACCACCCACCATCTGAGCCCATCACCTCCTCCTCCAGCAAGCGGGCAGCAGGTCACCCTACTCCCCATGATTAGTATCCCCCTTCTCCTCTCCACCCCAACACAACCTGTACGTACGTGGTACCACAGAACCCAACAAGCAAACCCAAAAAACAATTAGACAAAAACGACACAAGCACCATCAAAAAATGAGCCAAAGCACACACAACCATAAAAAAGTAGGAATATAGTTAACATCCATACAAACATATAAGCGTAGGCATAGAAAAATCACACAGAGCCACACATAACTCAAACTATACACAAAAAAAATAACATATACAAAAAAAGAACACCAGCAAATTCCCAAAGAACATAAAGATCCACAAATAAAGAGAAAATACTCCAATGAACCATACAAATCCAAAGAGCACTCACCACCAATGCACACAACCAGACTGAACACACATAGGAGAAGAAAATAATTATAAAAAAAAAACACACACTCCATCACAACTGAGCATTGCTAAGTAATGGACAGAACCAACTAAAAATACATACCAACAAGGAGCTACATAAGAGCAGAAAACCACACCACCACCACCATATCACCTCACCAGCACAATACACAATGTACCATCACAAAAAAAAGAGGAACCACAAATATCACATCACAAGTAACAAGGACATATATAACTAGGGCACGTACTAGTCAATCACACACAAAATACCCACCAAGATTATAGACTGAAAAAGCATCAATTATAACAATACAAACAAACATAATATATGCAATCATTAAAAAAAAAAAACAATCACTTAAACAATTACACAAAATTCATCACCACCAAAAAAAAAAAAAAAAAACACGAACCACACAAGGACCAATAATAAGCAAAAGCAAAAAGGAAGATGACCAATTCGCAGGGGGTGAATTTGGATGAGGGGCTAAACGGGAGTAGGCACCACGGGGAGCCAGAACCCGGGTCCTCTCACCTGGATGACCAATGGGCATTGAGTTTCCCATCAGGCTGCAGTTTGCAGCATGACAAGAGGGGCAGCCAGGTGCTGTTGGTTGCACCACGGATGACGTTGGCCTTGATTCGCTCCAGCAGGGGGAAGTCAGCTTCAAACAGCGTGTCTCCCTGGATGGGCGGGAGGGCAAGGGCGCTTCAGCATAAGGCATCCTTCTTCTGTGATTCCCAAAGGGAAGAAAATAGAGAAGGGAACTAATAGTCTTCATCTACCTAATTTGTACTGGTAATGAATTCAGTGCTTCTTACTGGGCCTCATATAATTTTTTTTGGGGGGGACAGAGTCTCACTCTGTCACAGGGGTTAGATGCCCTGGTGTCAGCCTAGCTCACAGGCACCTTAAAACTCGCTGGGGCTGAGTGATCCTCCTGCTCAGCATCCCCAAGTAGCTGGGTCTACCAGCATGTAACCACATGCCCAGCCCAATTTTTCCTATATATATCTTTTTAGTTGTCCAGCAATTTCTTTTATTTTTAGTAGAGGACAGGGTCTCCCTCTTGGCTTCAGGCTCATCTCTACTCCTGAGGCTCAAGGCGATCCTGATCCTCCTGCTTGGCCTCCCAGAGTGCTAAGGATTCAAGTGTTGAGCCACAGCACCTGCTATTAATTCTTATACGTAGTTGAATTAGCCTCCAGTTTTTATTAGAAGAGGAAGCGGATCAGAGATGTTGATATTTTGCCGCAGGTCATGCTGCTTAACCAAGAGCAGAGCCAGGATTCAAAATCCAATCTGGTCTGATCCTATAAATGCCCAGTCATTTCTCTTCCAGACTGTTCATGTTGACTCTGATTTAACAATCCACCCAACCCCTGATTCTCCTTACTCTGTACCCTGCCTGAATCACCAGCACTGAGGCCCAGTTGCATGTCCCCATTTTCAATCTTTTCCGTCGCCTGTTCCACCTTGCAGCCCCCTCCCTCACAGTCCTGTCCTCCATGCACAGGAGGAAGGCCAACACGGCTGCAACCTCTCCAGGGTCACTAAGGAATTCTCCTGTAGGTCCTTCCTGCGGGCAGCAGCAAGAACACAGTAAGCGTTGGCGCTGACCCCGTCCAGCTCATTGTTGGGCCTCCTTAGGGACCGGCTGATGTCGTACCTCAGCTCCTTGCTCCGCTGGGCCTGCCAGTTCCTTCATCCGCCGGAGGGAACACTAGGCGTTCAGGAAGGCGAGTAGAGCGCCTCAGCAGCATGGGGTTGTGCGTGAGAACTGGTACCCGAAAATAGGCGTCCTCCTTCCCCAGGTGTTCCCAGCACTCTTCTCTGGGAAGGCAGTTGTTGAGCACACCATGGGATCTGAGCTCTTGGTCCTCCCAACCGTCACCAAACCATCCCCACTTGACCCCAGCCTATCAGAGGGACCCAGGCCTCTGGTCTCCCAACCCTGGTTCTTCCAATTCCCCTGGTTTGGGTGGGATCTGGGGGTAAGGGTCCTGGGAAAAACACTGGGGGTGAGGGGACTAACCAGCCAGCTTGCTCTGCCCGCACCAGAAAATCCGGTTGAAGTCATCCAGATCATTCCAGGGAGTTAAAAGGTTTAAAACGTCTTTGTAGCAAGCTCTGCCAGCCTTCGGGGAAGCATGGGGCAAAGAGTTTAAGACTCACACCTATTCTGAGACCCAAATAATCAACCACAGGCCACCAAATGATCTTGGCCTGTCCCAGACCTGTGCAGCCTACACTGGCTCCCCTCCCCCCCCCAACTCCCCTGCTTCTCACCCCCTTGGCACAGGAAGCCTCGAAGTCAATCCCTCTTGTCCTCCCAGAAATCATCTCCATCTACAGGAAGTCATGTATTGTGTTTCCAGGCATATTCAGGATTAACCCATGCCTCGCAGTTAGCCCCACCTGCAGGGTAGACATGGCACCAGGCTCTGGTATTCTGGAAGTCGGAAGCGGGTCAGCAGCCTCAAGGGTGGGTCAGGGGAGAAGGGCCTAACCGGTACAGCTTCCTTCTCTGCTTCCAGCTCCTGCTTCCTGTGCTTCTTGAACAGCGCTTGAGGGTCCGTCAGTACGTGCGGCTAACAATCAGGGGAGTGACGGCCTTTCCTAAGGGCTCTCCATGTCCCTGCTAAAGTCGCCTCTGCAGGCTATCCTTCCCCGCTGGCCTCTCCCCAGCCTACCTCACTCGTACCAGCGCGCAGCAAACCGCCTCTTTGAACACCTCCAAAAGACCTGGCAGACCCAGTTCGATCTCCCAAGTCCATGGAGCCCTCCTTCAACACCATCCCCACCCCCACCGCGCCACCCCCCAGCCTTCTCCTGGCCGCAGCGGCCGCCCTCACACCCCACCCTGCCTCCACCGTGCCCTCCGCTACGCTCAGGAGGCGTCGCGCCTCCACCCAGCGGTAAGCAAGGGAACCTGTACTCCGTCCCCCACTGTCCCGGGCCCTGGCAGCCGAGATCCAGTTTGCAGAACGGCAGCGCGTCATCCCTGGAGGAGGCGCCGTTTGCGGCATTCACAAGCAGCAGCGGCCACGGTCTCCGCACCTCCACCTTGAACTTCCGTCTAGCTGATGCAGGCGACGGGAGAGCTCGCGTGGGCGTGGCGGGCCCTGCCGCCGAGGGCGCTGGCGGCCAGCCTGGCTCGCCGCCGCCCCTTTCTCCTGAGCCTCCGGGAAAGCGGCGCGAAGGGAGGCCAGGCGGAAAGGGATTTGCGCAACGGAGCAGGGCGCGCGACTCCACCCCTGAAGGGGAATGATGCGTCTGGAGGACGCAAGGGTGCTCGCCTGCGCGCTGCTTCTTCCCTCCCTATGGGATTGACCGAGCAACCCTGGAGCCGGGGACACGGCTGTTGTCACGCACTGCAGCTGTGAGCACTCACCAAGGCTTGAGGGCAGGCGGGTCGCCAACCTGCCTAGGGACAGGGCTTCCCGGAGGCATTTCCGCTCTAAGCGGAGAGCGGGAGGTGGGAGGGCTGTAACGCGGAGGGTGGGGGACCGCGCCGGGCAGAGGCGAAGGCGAGCGTCGTGGAGCTGCCGCACAAAGCGGGTGTGGGCAGGTGAAAAGGAGCAGATCGGGAGGGTTCCCAAGGTAACCAAGAGCTTTTGGATTTGGCGCTGAGAAGAAGCGCGGGGAATGTTCTAAGGTGGGAAATGTGTTGGGGAGAAAATTATCCTGGCTGAGAAGGCCTTGAAAGTCCCGGCGCAGAGGCGGCCAGGCCGGTTGAAGAGGGTGAAGATGAGCGCAGGTTCAAGGGACATTGGTGGTCCGGGATGAGGGGAACATCGAGGCAGCGGATGCACGGAGATGCCCGGATTCCTGGTTACGACAGAGGCGGAAGGCCAGAGAGGGAGGAGGCCGAGCGCCGGCCGGGAGACAGAGGACGGTCTGGCAGGTGGAAGGGAGAGGACGTCTTTGGGGCAAGTTCCTCTTGAGCGAGTCGCGTGAGACAGACATCCGAATCCGAATCCGAATCCGGAGAGAGAGCTGCACAGGCATGGGAAATTTGGAGGTTGGCCAGAGAAAGATAACAGGGCCCGGGTAGGTATGACAGAGTGGGTTGGATAATCGAGAGTGGTCTCAAGTCTGTGGCTTCTTTCTCCCCCACCCTCCCCCGATCCCGTCTCA